CCTGGGACACGGTAAGGTGCACCGATAAGCTTCATTCATCACTTCAGAATGTCTCCACTCCTCTCTGATTTAGGTTTCTGGAGTCCCAATGCCCCCCACCCTGTCTCAGTGGTTCTGTAGCTCAATGGAGCCACACTGTCAAAGACTACTCTTGTGGAGACCCTCCCCTTTAATACTGAGTATCATAAGAAAGTATTCACTTTGAGATCAGTATTCCCCATTACTGCCACCCATGCCCACTACAGAGATTCCTAATCCTTATCTTCACTCCTAACTTTACTTATTTATAATTAAACAGAATAAACCTGCAGAGCCAGTCTGTGCTGCCGGCAGGCCCTGGCCCTACATGAGCCCGGCCCCAGCTGGTACCCCCACCGCTGGGCTGGGGCTGTCCCAGTGCTGCTGATGGCCCCAGCTCCAGGCCCGGCCACATGCTGCCGGAGAGCCCAGCACCAGCCCTCGGCACATGGCACTGTCGATGGCCCCGGCCTGGCAATGGCACTGGGCTGGGGCCAGCAGTGATGGTGGCGAGGGCTGGGGCTGGCCCACCAGCAGCTAGCACCACTGCCATGGCTGGGGCCTGAGCCCGGCGCGATCTCAGCTGTCTGCCAGGGCGGTCGGCAGTGCAGAGATGGGGCTGGGGCATGAGCAGGTCCACGGCCCCGGCCCCATCCTGGTGCTGCCCCCGGCCCCGGCCCATGCTGCTGGTGAGCCTGGCCCCGGCCGACACCACCACAGCCGCCCGCCCCAGCCTAGTGCTGCTGCCAGGCCAGGCAGCAGTGATGGTGCTGGCTGGGGCCATTGGCATTGCCGGCATGGGGCTGGGCCCTGGCCCCTGGCCTCATCCTGATGCTGCTGATGGCCCTGACCCAGCAGCAGTACTGGGCTGGGCCTGGTGGTGGTGGTGGTGAGGGCCAGGACCAGGCCCACTGGCAGCACCAGGCTGAGGCCAGGGCTGGGACTGGGGCAGGTCCACATGCTGGCCACGTGCTGCTAGTGAGCCTGGCCCTGGCCAGCACCACAGCCGGCCCCAGCCCAGTGCTGCTGCCAGGCTGGGACCAGAGCCATTAGCAGCGCTGGGATGGGGCCGGGGCCATGGCCCATGTGGGGGAACTGCTCAGGCCCGGCCCCATCCTGGCACTGCCAGCAGGCCCCGGCCCTGCATGAGCCTGGCCGCAGCTG